AATATGTTGGTTTTTTCTCTTTTCTGTGTTGAAACCATGTAGTTCCACCGCTCGTCACCCGGTCTGGGCCTTTAAAAGGGGGGGGGGGGTTCAAAGCCCAACACGGAACAAATATTCTTTAAACTTATATGCAACCCTTTTCAAAAAAGATTTGGATTCCTGCTCTTTTCTTTTGTCTCCATACCTTGCTCACTCACCCGTTGCTCTATTACTACAAGGACTGAGTCACAAGCTACCCAGCGTCTCCCGTCTCCCGTGGCAGAGCGTTTGAATCATCCCTGTAACCAAACCAGTCGGACAGCTCCTCTCCTGTTAAAGGGCCAACAATCCTGTAAAAGGTGCAAGAGCTGCTGGCACTTCGCCTGACAATTGTAAAGCTCGACCCAGGTAAGCACGAATCCTGAGACCAAGTCCCAATAACTCCCGGGCTCTAAATGAAGATTTGACAAGCTATCATTCACTCCCATTCCTTTTCCGACCAATCAAAAAAATCAAAACTCAACAACCCTCCTCCTCTCCTCCTTAAGCGGTGCCAAATAAACACCACGTTAACATCTAAGTTCTCATAGTGATTTCCCTCCCGGACACTTGGCCTAAGTTAATGCTCCCATCCAAACAGTTTCCTTCTCCGCCCTGACTCCTTGCATAATAAATACCAGGAACTGAACCGTCTGCCCCGGCTGAGCTAGGCTAGACCCTCGGAGGACGAGCGAGAAGAACTAAGTTCATTAGAGGCGCCGAGCCTCCCACGGCATTCAGAGAGGCGCCCACGCGGGTCTCTTGCTCCCACAATGGGGCTCCTTCGTCCCAAGCGGCAATTTCAGAGTCGCTCCCCATGCAGGCGTCCTCAGGAAGGCCAAACCCGCCAAGAGCCACCCTTCGGGGTAGGCTGGGGGTTAATTAACCCTTTAGCCGTCCCCCACACTCCCAACCTGAGACGGGCTCGGTTTAGCACCTTCCCAGGCCGCGTTGAAGGGACAGCCCCCTCCTAAGGGCCCCAGAAAATCGCCCCTCGGGCTGCAGGGCTGACAGTGGCGGACACATGCAGGGGGCATGGCCCGGGCCTCGGGGAGTGACAGGCCGGGTGCAGCCCGCAGGGTCCGGCCCAACCCGGGTCCGGAGACACGCCGGGCCGCTGAGGAGCCCCGGGGCGGCGGGTGCTCACCGCGATGACATTGACGAAGGTGGTCTTGCCCGAGTACTGCAGCCCCACGAGCGTCAGCTCCATCTCCTCCTTCCAGAAGAGCGAGCGGAACCAGTCCAGCAGGCGGGAGATGAGCGCCAGCATGGTGACGGCGGGCAGCGCGCAGGGACGCGGGCGCGGACGGACAGCGGCGGAGACGGCCTCGGCCCCGAACCCGCCAACGGCTGCTCGGGGGCCCCCGGCGCGACAAGGGCTGACACGGGCGGGCGGCGGCGACGGCCGGAGCCAGGAAGCCCAGCGGGTCATATGACTCGCCCTACCCTCCCCCCCACGCCCGCCCCGCGCAGCCGCAGACGCCCACGGCAAGAGCGGCACCGCCCGCCTCGCCCGCAGCGCCCGCCACCCACAGCGCCACCTGGTGATGCTTCTGCGCAGTGCATCTTCCAGCAGGCTTGTGTTCCGGATCCCTGTGGTATGCCTTCTCTCCTCCACCCTGGGTTCATTCGCCATTCATTCATTCACTCACTCGTTCATGCATTCCCTTTTCTCTGCCAGATGCATGCCTGTAATTTCAGCACTTGAGAGGTGGGGACAGGAGAACCAAAAATTCAAGGCCATCCTTGAAGTGAGTTCCAGGCCAGCCTGGGGTACCTGAGATCCTGTCTCAAACAGGTAACAGCAAAGTGATTAGTCTTCATTCACTTACTGATTCAATTTTTCTATAAAGGCTTATTGACAGCTCAGTTGATAGGGTGCTTATCTAGCATGCATGAGGTCCTGGGTTCCATCTCCAGAATAGGGGTGATGCTCACCTGTAACTCAGCACTTGGGAGATCGAGAGAAAAGGCTCATACTTTCAAAGTTATTCTTGACTACACAAAAAGCTGGAGATCATTCTGGGCTTCATGAGAGCCTGTCTAAAAACATAACAACAGCCAAAACACACCACACACACAAACACACACACACACACACACACACAGAGATTTCTGGATTAGCTGTGGGTATGCTCACCTGTCCACTTAGCACTCAGGAAGATGGTAATTTCAAGTCCAGCCTTGTGAGTTCAAGGCCAGCCTGAAACCAATGAAACTAGTAAAACCCTGACACAAGGAAACAAGGACAGGTGATATATGTAGTTCAGTGATAGAGAACTTGCCAAACCTGTTGAAGGCCCTGGGTTCCATCCTCAACACAGCTAAACTAAGAAAAATGCTGCGCATGTCTTTGGTTGGCAATAGCATAGGATGAAAAGTAGCAAGTTTTCATCAGTAGTGAGCTGGTCAAAGAAACTGTGGTTTCTATGTAACTCTTTAAAAGTGAGTGGTCATGCCAGGCATGGTGGTGCATTCCTTTAATCCCAGCACTCGGGAGGCAGAGGCAGGTGGATTTCTGAGTTCAAGGCCAGCCTGGTTTACATAGTGAGTTCCAGGACAGCTGGGGCTACAGGGAGACCCTGTCTCAAAAAGACCAAAAAAAAGCGAGTGGTCATTTAATTAAAATGTGCATCAAAGCATCTATATGAGGGCTCAGTTAGTAGAGTGCTTACCTAGCACACACAAATCCCTGGGGTCTCATCAGCACCAAATAAACTGGGCATTGTGGCACATACCTGTAATCCTTACACTTGGGAGGTGAAGACAAGAGGATCAGAAGTTTAGGGTCACCTGGGACTGCATACCAAACTTGAGGCCAGCCTAGGATACATGAGACCCTGTCTAAAAAGAAAAGGAAAATCTTCAAGGTTCATGAATTTTAAAGAAAGTCCCTAGGAAAGGGGATCAGATCTGTGATAATGTGGGAGACCCAGAGTTCATCTCCAGCACAGCAAAACAGTAGCAACAAAATCCCTGCCCTCCTAGAGCTCACAGTTTTGTGGAGAAGACAAGTATAATAAACTTAAGATAAAGTGTCACGTGGTGCTGAGCATTATAAAGAAAACTGAAGGGGAACAGAAGGAGGAGCAGCCAGCTCTGTTGTCTTCAGGGTCAAGTGACCCTGTGGAAAGGCTGGAAGGAAGTGAGAAAGAGAACCAAGCTGACCTTTGGTGGAAGAACATTTCAGGAAGAGCAAAGACTCTGAAGGGGAAGGATGGTAGAGTGGTCTGGATATTCAATCTACGGTTGATATAATTCTTTCCACTTATATAATTGTTAGTCAATGGAAAAAATACTCCTCAGCTAAATCCCTCTTTTAAAAAACTGTAGGGGTTAGAGAGACTGTTCAGTCAGACCTGAATTCGGATCCAAGCACCCACATAAAAGCCAGGTGTGGCAGCATGAGTCTGTAACTCGAGCACTGGGTAGGTGTAGACAGGAGGGTTCCTGGCCAACCAGTCTAGTCAAATCAGTAAACTGCAGGTTCAAGGGACAGGCCCTGTCTCAAAAGTAGGGCAGAGAGCAACGGAGGAAGACACCGAACATCGACCTCAGACCTCTGCACACATGTATACATGCACGCACACATAACACAAAGAGGAGAGAGAGAGAGAGAGAGAGAGAGAGAGAGAGAGAGAGAGAGACTATACATCAAGGCTGGGGGTAGCTCAGTAGACATAGTTCTTGCCTAGCATGCATGAAGCCCTGGGTTTGATTCCCCAGCACTGCATAAACTGGATGTGATAGCACACACCTGTAACCTTCTGAGGTGGAGGCAGGAAAATGAGAAGTTCAAGGTCCTCCTGGGCTACATAGTAAAATGTAAGGCCACTATGGACTATATGAGATCCTGAATCAAAAAAAAACCCTACTAATAATTATTACCTTTATGATATGATGGCTACAAAAAATTAAATTGGTTAGGCACAGTGGTATATGCCAATGATCTCAGCACTCAGGAGGCAGGGGTCAGAAAATCAAAGCAAATTCCAAGCCATCCTGGTCTATATAATGAGTTCCAGGTCAGCCAGAGAAGGAGACCTGATCTTAAGAAAAAAATAATTCAAATAACAAGAAATAATAATTCCTATAATCCCACTCTTCTGAAGTGACCAGTTTATTATGCTTGATTTTTTTTTCTGAGATAGGGTCTTATGTAGCCCAGGCTGGCCTCAAACCATAGCATGTAGCTAACAATGACCTTAAACCCCTGATCCTCCTGTCTCTACTCCCAAGTGCACCCCTATGCCTAGCTTCGGTTTCCTTTGCGAAGCCCCCACTGACAGTTGGGTGTGTCTTACCACTTTCCTGAGCACTTCTCTTTTTGTTATCCCAGGGTTTAACTATATTAAAATCTTTTCAACTCTGCTCCTTCCCAAAGTTCCTTTCTACAGCAAAGAATCCTGGCTTCACCTGGAAAGAATTCCTCAAGCTGTTGTGTCTCCAGCCACACCCTACTGCCACTGACAGAATAGGAATTCAGGGTCATGGCTCAGACATTTGACCCACCCACAGGTTCCACATAAAGGCTGGAAGCCCTAGGGTCTTGGGATTGTGGCTGGCAATGGACAGGGCAAGAGATAAGGCTGCTTCTTGTGTTCGCCACAGGACTGTTGTATAAGAGCAATAAAGTATTATGACATGGGATCTAAATGAATCTCTGAAGTTCTGTTAGTTTTCCCATGATGAAGCACATGCTCGCTGTGTAGCTCAGTGGTTGAGCGCTTGCCTCGCATGAGACAGGCTGTGGGTTCCAGTCCCAGCACAGTAAAGAGCAAAACAAAAAAGCAGCAGAGACACAGAAGAATGTATTACAGTTAGGATCCTGATTGCAATCCACTTAGGAACAGGGCCCATTTCAACTGAAATCAGTAAAGGTATTTTGAGGATTGGGATGCTGGCATATAAACATGAAGGTCTGAGTTTAAAACTGGGCACAGAAGCACACAGCTAGAATCCTACCACTGAGGAAAAGGAGACCAGAGGGTTCCTGTGGCTTGCTGGCCAGTCAGCCTAGCAGAATGAGCAAGCTATAGGTTCAGGGATAGACCTTGTTTAATAAATTAAGACGAAGAGCCATTGAAAGACACCCTATGTCAGCCTCTGCTTTTCACACGTGTGCACGTGTGTGGTATACACGTAGGAACACATATGAACACATACATAATTAGGTGGCAAATAAATGAAGACTTTTGAGTGAATGTGTTGGGTTTAGGTGGGGATTCTGAAATCTCCCTTCTCAGACCTATGTTTTAATAGTTTTGCACTAATCTAAGGAGATAGTAGTTTGGGCCAGGTGATAAAATGAGTGAGACATATTGCATAGGTTCCTGTTGATGTGACTATCAGCCCAGTGACCTCTGCAGTGACACCATGTGAACTTGTGCCATAGGACACTTCTGCATTTGACCAAGTCAGTCAAACCAGCCACAGATGCCACTGTCATCCTAGACAGAGCCTCAGGATCTGCAAGGGCAGAATGTCAGTTCCCACTTAGAAAGAGTGGGTGTAGAGAAAGGGAAGAGCCAGGAAGGAAGCTCTGCTCTTGGAAGAAGCATTCCTCATCATTCTGAAACAACTGAGTCAAACTTTTTGTAAGAAAAATCAAGCATCCCAACACTGGGGAGGAGTGCCACAAGTTCAACTCCAGTCTGGGTTACATAGTGAGTTGAAGGTCAGCCTAGGCTACAGAGTGAGACTCTGTCTCAGAAAAAGAAAGGGGTGGGAGAATGAATCAGATGAGGATTGCAAAGGTAGCAAACAAGTCCTCAGTGTGGTGTGAGAAGAGGGTTCTGCTGGGAATAAAACAAGCCTGTTGCTCAGAATGAAAAACTTCCCTTTGAATCAAGTAGTTCTTATCTTGGGAGCTAGAGATGTAGCTCAGTGGTTAACAGTTAATCTTGCAGAGGACCCAAGTTCAGTTCCCAGCACCTAAATGAGGTAACTCACAACTGCCTGTAACTCCACTTCCAGAGGATCTGAACAACCCCAAAAAAGTCATCCTCTGACCTCCACATGTGTACATGGCATGTGCTTTCTCTCCTCCCCAAAAAAATAATTTTTAAAAATTAAGTTCTTATCTTGACCATATTGTACACCTGTAATCCCAGCACTCCAGAGGAAGAGGCAGGAGGATCTCCACAAGTTTGAGGCCACCCTGGTCTACTTTAGTAAGTTCCAAGCCAAACAGGGCTTTGGGGGAGACGCTGTCTCAAGCAAAAGCAATGACAAAAGTTCTTACCTTGACTTTGAAAACTAAATGGCTATGTGACCTTAGGTAAATCACTTTCCCTATCTGGGCTCAGTGGTTAAAAATACTTACTGTACAAACATGAAGACATGAGTTCAGATTCCAAGCATCCATTTAAAAACTGGGCACAGTGGGGTACACCTGAAACCTTAAGACTGGAAGGGCAGAGATTGCCAGATACCCCGAGGTCACTGGCCA